TAAAATCGCCTGTTTAGGCTGTTTAGTGGGATCAATTTTGTAACCTTAATTTTCTTACAAAGTTATCCATTTCATCTACATTTCAAATTCATTTGCATAGAGTTCTGCAAAGTATTCTCATGATTTTTAAAATTTTTTCTGTTGCATTGATTACTTCCCCCATGACATTTCTTATTTTCTGTATTTTCCTTTTTCTTGATCAGCTAGTGGTTTGTATTAATTTCCCCCAATCAAGATTTATATTTATTCATTAGATTTACTGTTTTTCTGTTGTCTACCTCATTAATTTAAGCTTGTCTCTTCATTATCTTCTTTCTTGTATTTATTTTTTGTTCTCCTTTTAGTTTTTATGAATCAGGAATTACTAATTTATTAGTTTTTCATCTTTATTTTTACTGATAAGATATTAGGGTAGCCAGGCACAGTGGTACGTACCTGTTTTCCCGGTATTCAGGAGGTTGAGACAAGGAGGATTGCCACTAGTTCCAGGGCAGCCTGAGCTACATAGTGAGTTCAAGTCCAGCCTGAACTACATAGTGAAACCCTGTCTCATACCCCTCCACACAAAAAAAGTTAATGTAATGAATTTTTCTGATTATGGTTTTAAATACATCTCAGAGAGTCTGTTATGTATTGCTTTTGTTGTAACTTTTTTGTGGGGTACTGGGGATCAAACTCAGGACCTTGAACTTGCAAGGCAGGTGCATAGCCACTGAGCTAAATCTACAACCCTATAATTTTTTAAAAACTCTGTACACTTAATTTGTATTTCTTCCTTGACTTACGAGTTAATAATAGGGATATTAAATTTCCAGGTGGAAATGCCTTTCCATTTTTTATTTTCGTTAATAATTGACACTGTTTTACAAACAAAAAGTGGGTTTTGCAGTATTTCTGCATTAGGGAAACTTGATTTTTTAAAGGTGATCAATTGTAAATGTGCAGAAAATTCTTGAGAAGAATGTGTCTCTATTAGCAGGGTTTAAAGTTCAACATATATCCATAAGATATGATTAAATGTGTTGTTTAAACCTTCTTTGTCCTTAGTTTTTCTAATGGTCATTGTTGCTATTGTAATACTGGGGCTTGAACCCAGGGCTGCATATATACTAGGCAAGCACTACCACTGAGCTACATGCTAGCCTTTATTTTTTGTATACTTTATCTGCCTTATATGAGAACGGTGTATTAAATGTCTTGTTATTAGTATGTTTCTGTGTCTTTTTATATCTTTTTACAGTCTTTGTTTCATAAAGGTTGTGGTTGTATTATTTGGCTTATAGATATTTGTGGGTGTTAGATCTTCATGCAAATCATAGCTTTTAGTATTCAAGGTGTCCTTTGTTGGTGTTTAATGCTTTGTGGTTTGAATTCTATGTGATCTGCTCCTGCCCTTTCTTTGTTCATTTACTGGTAGACCTTTGTCCATTCTGTTTATTTCTAGCCTTTCAGAATCACTGTATTTTTGGTATGCCTTTGGATACGGCATTTAGGTTTTGTCATGGGAGCCAAATAGAAAACCTTTTTCATGTAATAGGTGGATTAAGCCCATTTGTGTTTATTGACATGTCTGACTTGTGACTTGCAACTCTATTGTAATATTTTCTCTATGAAATGTATATTCTTTGCTTTTTAATGGACTTTAAAAACTTTTGGATTTGGAAAGATTTATATTTTGTAGTTATTTGTATATAAACATCTTTAATGTCCATCACACCGTTTTATTAACCCTTAACATTCTGACATTTTAAGTTTCTCTTTGTATCATTTAATATTCACCTGTTGCTTGTACAGTAATGCAAACTTAATTAACCTTTGTGTATCAAGGCCTTGAAGACTACCTTTGAAATCTAGTTGATCATTCTAGATTAATTTTCTTAGGTACCATGCGAGTACTATCATTTTAAGATTAGTTTATTTTCTGTTTCTGGAAAGTTTCCATAGATTATAATTTTAAATATTAGCTGAAACTCTGATTATATAAACATTATTTCTCTGTATCCCATTTTTACCTTACCTTCTTACCCTTCTTACCCTTTTTACTTCTTTTATGTCATTTCATTCTTTTGGTTGTGTGTATTTTTCTTCAGTGCTCTTTATTTTCTTTTTACTCTTTCTCCTTTGGGCACCCAATAATTTCTTTTTCATTTCTGAGATAATTTTGTCTTTTCTTTCCATTATTTTCTGGAGCTTATTCAACTCTCTTATCCTTTCTCTCTGTTTGTACCCTTTTAGTATTTGTGGTAAAATTTCTAACTCTGGGTGTATAAATGCTTGGAGAGTGTGTTTATGTTTGGAGTGTTATGATTTTTTTAAAATTCATGGTTGTTTTCCAAGAAAGAAATTTTTATGGCTTAGTGTGTTTTTGTTTTGTTGTATTTTCTTTTTTAAGATTCGAAGTTGAGGGCACTGGTGGCGAACCTATGGCAAGTATGGCGCGGCCAGCTGTTGGTTGCCATTGGAAGCTCTAAAAGGTTCCCGCCACTGGTCTAAGGGCACCTTCTTCTGTTAGTGGGAAGAGTCCAGGCAGCAGTTTGTTTATTTGGGGTGACTGACGGAGAGGGACAATACTCTGACACTGTGGGCCTCCTGTGACTTGTAGGGCCCTCCAATGTTTCTCTTTTCATTCTTTTTACCTTTACCACTCAGTTGCCACAGAGTGCTTCTGCCTTTTCATCTTTCCCGCCCCCCCCAGAAGGATTCAGTTTTGAAGAGTGCCTATTTAAACTGTCTGTCTGGTTCACTGTGTGGGCTTTGACGTCCCTTCCCTGTACCTGTGCTCTGTTGAGTACAAGCACTTTTCACAGTTTTCATCCTGTTGGGGGTCATATTAGGCCACTCTTAGGCCAGGGGCCCCCTTCCTGGGCTCTTTACAGTCCTTCTCCTTCAGCCCATGCTATTGCAGGAGGACCAGGGGTCTATTGCTGGGATTTGATGATGATTTCTTTTGCTTGATTTGTGTTCAAGTTTCAGCATACCCTGTATTTTAGTTACCCCAAGAATGTGGCTGAGTGCTTTGTTTAATGTCTTTGGTAACGACTGTAAGAGAGATCAGCAGGCTACATAACTGCCCTTGTCTCTACCTCCTGGAAGTTAGGCTTTACCCCAAGAAATTATTTTAAGTGATTTTAAATGGTTCAGAGTTTAAGATATTTTATTTTGATCTTTAAGTGTCTGTTTTAAGGTGTATTAGAGAATGGTAAAACTAGTTCTCTAAATCCATGATAAAAAGGTTTCAACATTGAATAGATCCTCTACACTAAAACTTCAATTCAGAAAATATGAAATAATACAGATAATAAACAAAATTATCCAAAGTCATATTTGGCAAAGAGAGTGTCAAGTGACTCTCTTGAAGGGATGATGTCAACAGGTTGTACCAGAGTTTTCGACTTGTGAGGTGAATAGCAGCAGATTTTGCTGGTGGCCACCAGGGTTCTCTTGGGGGACGCTGCTGCCAGGCCAGAGGTGGACTGGGTGACTCTTTACAAAGGTTATTCTGCCACCAGAACCCTGTGTTAGTCAATTCATTGTGACTCTAGATATAGACTAAGTCTTGGGATTTGGGGACAGAATACTCTTTTTTTCTTTCGCATTGGAGGTTTACTTTTGTAATTACCTTTTCTAGTTCTTGTGGAAGCAAAAACCAAATGCCATCTTTCCCCAAAGTTACCTGTTATGGACTGTGCAAATTTTGAAATCAATAAAATTAATTTGCTCTTCAGTGCCCATAAGACAGAATTATTCACATGTGAATTAGTCATATTGTGTTAAGAAAGTTTGTAACTTGATACTAAGCAAAATATGTTGAAGCGTATAACTAGTTTCTTGAACAAAATTTATACATTTGTCATATGAAAAAATGTTCAACATCACTGGCCATTCGAAAGATACAGATGAAAACAACATTGAGATTCCACCTCACCCCAGAAAGAATGGCTGCTATCAAGAAATCAACCAATAACAAATGTTGGCAGGGCTGTGGGGAGAAAGGAACCCTTCTCCATTGTTGGTGGGAGTGCAGACTGCAGCAACCACTGTGTAAATCAATATGGAGATACCTCAAAAAATTAGGATTAGAGGTCCATAGCTGCTATTCTTCTGGGTATCCTCCCAAAAGAATTATAAGAATCATACCACAGGGATATATGCACACCCCTGCTTATAGCAGCACAGTTTTAATAGCTAAAACTTGGAAACAGCCCATTTGCCCATCAGCTGGAGACTAGATAAAGAAGATGTGGTTTTTGTTTTTATAAAATGGAGTACTACTCAGCCATAAAGAATGAGCAACTGGAGACATTTATAGCGAAATGGATGCACATTGAGGCCATGCTCTTTAAATGAAGTAAATAGGACATTCATCTAAATACCGAATAGTTTCTCTGGTGTGCCAAACTAAAAGTGTAAATAAGGATCAAAATATATAACTGATAATGTGAAATAGGAAGAAGGTCTAAAGGAGTAGGGGAAGTGGGAGGGGTAGGGGAAAGGAAAGAAGGTATGAAAAAAGAAAAAATGGAAGCAAAACCTTTGTAAATAGGGAAGGGTAGAGGGGATGAAGGGAGGGCAGGGGTATGGGGGAAAAATAAGAACCAAGATCCATCATGTAAAGGTACAAGATCCCAATGATGAATGTAACTGGTATACCTAAAAAGTACCAATAAACTTAATGGAAAAAAAATTTTATAGGTTTGTACATTTTCAGTAAACCAGTCACAATAGTTTATTATAAGAATTTCAGCCAAAATGTTTTAAAATGACTATTTTAAATCTATAAAGTTAAGTAACTATCAGACAGTGCTAGAAATAAATGAGGTTAAATGTACCTGATGATGGTTCCTGAACTGATAAAGTTTAAAATCATCTCCTCAAAAATCTTATAAAGTTTTCTAGCTCCACAGGGGTTTGTATGTGGAGCTTGAGTTTTCTGAAAGCAAATTCAATTAGAACATTATATGCTTTATGAGGCATCTAATATGATACCGTGTTTTCTTTAGAAACGGGCATGCAGGACATCAGAAGCCAATGGACACGAGCGAGGCAGCCATCAGGTGAACATGAGTGTCCTGGGGTCTTGGAGCACAGAGGACATGGAGTCTCTTCCAAGAGGCTGCCCCAATGCAGCAGGGCCACCGGGCAGCCAGGGAAGGGCTGGCTCAGTGGTATGTATGTTCCTGTTACCACCAAACCTGTTGTGAACCCATTTAAATATTTTAAAAATATTATGACTAAATAGTCATTGTTTTGATATCTCTGTGCCTGTGCTTTGTTAAATAGATTCCTCAAAACGGTGGAAGGAACATGATTCAGCTTTGCCCAAGGTGTATTGCTGGGGAATCTGTAAGTACATTAACCATGTTGCTGTGACATCAAAGATAGACTTCTGTTTAAATATTAGATCCATAAAACAAAGTTAATAAAAACTGCAATTACATTTCTAAGGAATGAGTAATGTAAATAAAGGTAAAGACTGATTTGAGTTTTGCTTAGCCTTCTATGGGAATATATGTTAGTTTGTTTCCAGCTTCAGATCAGAAATGGAAATTGTAAATAAATACATCTAATATTCTTCCTAAAAAGTGATTTTTAGGAAGGGAAGAGAGCATCTACTTTGCTAAAAAAAAAGAGAACCATTTAAGGACATCTTAGAGAAAAGACAAGACTTTATTCAATTACTCAACATTATTATTATATTTTTTTCTGTTTAAGTTTTCCTTGCATGTTTCCACAAACTTCACATAAATAATAGATTTCAGAAGGAAACAGTGTTCACACTATCATTTCAATGTAAAGGGAGATAAAAAAAAATCACCAGAGTCAATTCTCAGTCTCCTCTCTGGGGCAGAATATCATAAAGTATATATTAGCATAATAATACCTTTGTTATTAATTTTGAACTTGCTCTAAGAACAAGTTAATATTTTTTTGATAACCTCTGTAATTCTTGGGGTTTTTTATGTTAAAGCTGAAATCTTAATATTGCAATAAAATAGAATTGTATTTAAATTCCACATAGAAACCAAGCATTAGGATGTGGGTGTTCATATGTGTGTGTGTGTGTGTTCCTGAGATTGACCCCTAAACATATTCAGAGTATATTGCTCCGTTTTTGATAAGCAAAAGATTGAGTCCATAACTTATAGAGCTCTTCAATTGACATATTGTAGGATACTGTGATTTTACTATGATAGGCACCTGATTCAAACCTGAACAACAACTAACATCATGACATCTGTCACTCATGTAAAACTTATTTTCTGAAGTTATCAAACAAATATGAAAATAAAATTTAATGCTCCGTGAAGGTGTACTTTGCTACTTTATGTATACTATCTTTAGAAAAATTTCCACAAGTTATGTTACATTCTGTGGTATAATTCTGAACAGTACTAAAATTAAAGATCCAAAAATTTGAATTTAGTGTATTTAGGTTGATTCACATAGCTGCCAATTCTACCCTGAAATACAAATACTGTAAGTAATACTTCAGAAAGCTGGCTCCATTACAGTTAAGTTACCAATTTGCTAGTGATTTTTCTTCTTCTCTCCTTCCTCGTCCTTCTTACCTTCCTATCATTCTTCCTTAATTTTTTTTTTTTTTTTTTTTAGTTTTAGGATTGAATCCAGTGTTTTACACTGAGCCCATTTTGAGACAGGGTCTCACTCAGTTGTCCAGGCTGGGCTTGAACTTGTGATCTTGCCTAGCCTCCTGGAGTGCTGGGCTTACAGGCATATGCAACCACCCCTGGCTATGGTACCCTTACTTGTTCCTACACCATTTCAATGGAATATATCTTTCAAATTCCCCCATCTGTTGGAGGCAAACAGTTTGAATGTAATGTGAATTTCTAATGCTCTGAGTGGTTGTGTTCTGGCATGAATGGCTTAGAGGAAAAAAATAATATTTAGCTCAAGCAACTGATTGGATCATTTTGGCTAATATTCTGTTTGAACAACAGTACCTATTTGATTAGGGTTTTTCCTTCCTTTGTAATTCCCCAAGCTTGCCTCTGTTAGTTTTATAGGAAATCTATCTATGAGCAGAAAACCTACATTGATATGTAAATATCATTTTTTGTTAATGCTCAATATTCTTTTCATCTAAATTTCAGAAACTGACTTTAAAATATCAGTTTCCTTTTATTTGTAGTTATTCTCAATAAAATTTCACCCAGCCTTGGGCATTTTAATATTTACACCTACTATTTCTAAAAGTCTTATGTAAATAAAGATTGAAATGTGAATTTGAAAAGTCACACTTCTTGATATTTGAACAGACTATAGCTGCATATATCTTCTTTTTCTAATAATATGGCTAGTTTCTCTCTTAAGCTTTTAAAATAATAAGACACTATTTTTATATTCTAAAACATCAAAGGTTCAGTGTTAAATAAAAAGCAAATAGTATTTTTAGAAATGCAAGATCCCAGGGAGTAGTACTTAACAATAAGTCACCAATGGGCAACAATTCCAAATTTCAGAAGACTTTATTAAATTCGAGGTTCCATTCACAATCACTTGCCCATTTACACATAAGCATGCCTTCTCCTACCCTGTAGTTCCTAGGTAACTCAGAATGGTTCCCTTGGATCAGAGAAGCAAAGGTTATGTCAGTGGTAGTTTGTATGTAATTCCTAACAGGAGACTTGCCTGTGACTCTCAGTGTATTTGGGGGCTTTTCCCCAGTAAGCTCCTTGGTATCCTGATCCTACTCTAATGCATCTCTGACCTCAAGGGGACATCAGCTGATCTGATCAGATCTGCTCTGAATTCTCAATAATGCTGTCTCAGCTAGATGCCTGAGTTCCTGTGATGTTTCCTTATTTTTAATCATTGAGTCATTTTTACATATGCAAGGACCTTTTTTGTTGACCTTCTCAAACTCATTTTCCAAGTTTTCATTTCAGTCTCTTCTATTTGATCCATTCCAGCTCATTGTTACAATGGTTCTTATTTCAGGAATCCCTGAAATGGTTTCTTACAGTAATTGCTGTCATGGTTCAACTCATGGTACTTGTGATTAAGAGAAACCTATCCTCTTAGCTCATGTGACCGACAATCAGAATGAATATGGGGGAATATGGTTTATAGCATTTGGTTGTGTGTTCCCGCACAGGGCCAGGCTGTGTGCTCACTGCCTGCACTGTCCAGTGCTGCAGGTCCCCGAGCAGTGTGGGTAAGGGCTGTCACCAACAGACTTCCTTCCACAAATGCCCCTGAAGCTGGACTATTATCAAAGCAGAGGTTTCCTCTCTGGTGTCTGCCAACCTATGAAAATTATGCTAATTCAGACTAATTAAACAAAACCTAACAAAGCTGCCAAAGGTCTCCAAATTAATCAAAAGAAGATTATTAATTCTGTTTATAAGGCAGAAAACTATAGTAAGAAAGGACTTGGGATGCATATTGAGTGGAGAGATAATACTTTTTCAGTACTCTATTGTCCTGCAAGCATCTGATCTCTGACACTCTTTAGCACTTCAGCACTGTAATTCTTGGTAGGGGGCACACTTCGTGCACGCACATGTATGTGTGTATGTGTGTGTTACTGAGGAATGAATCAGGACCTTTTCCCTGAGCTACATCCTCCTCCCTTTTTTATTTTGAGATAGGGTCTCAATAAGTTGCCCAATCTAAGCTTGAGCTTGGAAACATCCTGCCTCAACCTCCCAAAGTTCTGGGGTTACAAGCATGTGCTACCTACTCTGGGACTTTTTTGGTCAGCAGGATTGTCAATTATTGGTTTTTTTTCCTCAACTCTGTTTCCTCTTTTGTCCCCCACCCACCCATCCACCCGCTGTGAAATCAGACAGTCCAGCTTCTTATTTCTGGGTACATTCAACCAGTGTGAAGTGCCAGTGGAACACTGGAGTGCGGGGAGATGAGGAGGCTGGGCATTTCTCCTCATTCTCTGCTAGAGCTTCGTTTGACCCTCTCTCCAGGGACCCCACTTCTGCAGGACATCCTACTTCGGTCCCAACTCTTGCTGGTGGCACCAGCTGCTGGCCTTGTAGCACACTGCCTCCTCCCTTCACCCTTCTTGCTCTTAATAGGGTGGTGAAGAGTTGTTTGACCCGCCTTCCCCTGTATGGCTTCTCCTCTCTTCCATCATTTGTATGTTCAAATCCCGTGCTAAGTTCCTTCTGTTGGAAACATCTGGTGTGAGTCTTAATTGTGATATGCCAACTTGACTAGAGTAAGAACCACCTAGCAGATTAGTGAAGCTGTGGGTGTGTCTGTGGATGACTGACTTGTAGGCCACAAACAGGAGGGAATACCCACCCTACATGTAGGTGGCATCAGCCAAAAGGCCTGGGGCCTGAACAGAATAAAAACGAAAAGAAGAAGGACATCTCCCCTTTTCATTTTCTTCAGAGCTCCAGTTTTTGGCTTTTGAATTTCCTTCATTTCCTTCAGGCTTCCAATGCAGACTCTTCAGCTTTCTAACACAGACTCACCCCGGACTCTGCAGTGAGCTGGCCTTGACTGGATCCTCAGGCTCTCCAGCATGCAGACATTCTACCCCCGATTCCACAGACAGACATTGTAAACCTGCCTAGTAAATCCATTTTTTTTTATATTACATCTGTTCCTCCTGTGAACCCTAACTTACATACCTGATTTAGCTTCTGTTTTCTGACTGAACCTTACCTGAGCTAGTCAGCTAGTGAATGGGCAAATTTTCCTGGGGGACAAAGAGATTGCTCTCAAACCTAGGCCTCTAGGTCTGATCTTCTAACACCAAGGCTGAGGTTCAGTAAGCTTGGTATTTTGGAGTGCTGGCATCCTAGTTATGAGTCATGCTGGGGTGGAGGAGGTAAGTCAGGCCTTAAGTGTTGTGCTCACTATTCTTCTTTGCTGTCTTTTATCAGAATTATTACTTACACTGGTAGTGAATTGCCATATAAGAGCCAACATGCAGCCAGGCATGGTGGCACATGCCTATAATCCCAGGATGCTAGAAGAATGAGTCAGGAAGATCTCAAGTTCAAGCCTACCCTGGGCCAACTTAGTGACTTAGCAAGACATATGTCTCAAAATAAAAAATACAAAGGAGAGCGGGGGAATGGGCAAAAAATAAGAACCAAGATACATCATGTAAGGGTACACGATCCCAATGATGAATATAACTGTACTGTATACCTAAAAAGTGCCAGTAAACTTAATGAAAAATAAATAAATTAATTAATAAGTTAATAGCAAAATAGAAAAGGGCTAGGGATGTAGCGCAGCACAAAGGCCCTGGGTTCAACCCCCAGTACTAAAAAAAAAGCCAACATGCAAATCATGTTTCTTATGGAACCCGCTCCTCAGATTGACTCTGGGTACTGGCCTATACA